TCAGCTGTCACGGGCTGCTTTCTGGGGGTGGAGTGTCCCCTGCTTCGCGGGGACACTAAAAAGCACCGAAATCATATCAAGTTAACCTCAAGATAACCTCTTTTATCCAAAGTCATTTTTGTGCCGCAGAAATGTGTCATTGTGTCATGTTTTTGTGATGAGAAGATGCGGGAGGACTCCTGTTTGGAGTCTAGTTTTATCCAGCGCTACACACAAGGCGAAACGTCGTCGTCCCTTCAATTTCTAGTGTGTGGTCTGGTCAACACAAGGCGAGTTACTCATACTGCGCTACACACAAGGCGAGTTACTCATACTGCACTACACACAAGGCGAGTTACTCATACTGCACTACACACAAGGCGAGTTACTCATACTCACCTAGTTGTGCTTGTGGGGCTTGAGCTTCGGATCTTTGGTCTCGTCGTCCACTCTACGTGTGGAAGTGTCAATGTACCTGTCATGTGATGTCTGTCATGTACCTGTCATGTGATGTCTGTCATGTACCTGTCACCCGCTCCCCACTGACCCCCCATTAACTCGTCATTCAACAGCAGTTTGAATCCCGCATCTATTATCGTTGTTGAAATCACTTCTTGAAAGTCTCGTTTGCTGTAGCAGGGTCGTGTACGTCGTGCCAGTCCTCCTTACCATCTAGATTGTCTTAATTGATTTTTATAACTGAATAGTTGTCATCCGTCCACTTGGTCTGCCTAGACTCGAACTGTAGCTCCTGGTCCCTCTGGAGCCTAAGTGCAGCTCTTTGGAACGGGGTGACTAGTGACTACTTTACACACACACACCGTCACAGAAACACACTCCACTTGACGCACGACTAACGACGTCGTACTGACGTCGACACGACGTACTGACGTCTTTACGTTTGTTTTATCGCGAAGTGGCCAGTCAAGCCACAATTCTCGTACCTCAACTGATCCAGCCTCAACTTAAGCGTTTGTATTGGTGATAGAGTTACTCGATTATGTGCGAAATGCACACATCTCACTTGGGCTGTGGGTTCATTTGGGCTATTTGGGCGCCTGACAGCTGAGTGGACAGTGCTTCGGATTCGTAGTCTTGAGGTTCCGGGTGTTCGATCCCCGGTGGAGGCGGAGACAAATGGGCAAAAAGTTTCATTCACCCTGGTGCCCCTGTTTGCTTAGCAGTAAATAGGTACCTGGGAGTTAGACAGCTACTACGGGCTGCTTCCTGGAGATATGTAACAAAAAGGAGGCCTGGTAGAGGACCGGGCCGCGGGGACGCTAAGCCCCGAAATCATCTCAAGATAACCTCATCTCTCAAGATCTCAAGAACATCTCTTCTCGATAACAGCCCTGCATCCTAACTGCCTGACGATTTCTCTGATATTCAGGCCAATCAGAAGTGGCTACGTGTGTTCCGTTCCCTGAATGATGGAAGCAGTCAGCAGTCGTGGGAAGACAAGGAATAGAATAGCCTCTATATAATAATAATAATAATAATAATAATAATAATAATAATAATATAATATAATAATAATATTTATTTAGGTAAGGTACATACATAAAGAGATTTTACAAAGTTTGTTGGCTTTATAGATAGAGCTAGTACATATAATGCCTAAAGCCACTATTACGCAAAGCGTTTCGGGCAGAAAGATATTACAGAAAGATATATTACAGAAAGATATTACAGAAAGATATATTACAGAAAGAATTACAGATATACGGCAAATAATTGCATAAAATAATATAAATCTGACTGTTACCTAACTAAATATGACGACAGTGAAGTCAACATATCAGACGGTGTAAGGAAAGCATCATGACTCTCAAGTGAGCACAGATGTGCACAGAGGACCCTTATGTAGGTCTACATGTAGACACGTGCACATAAGCTACGCTATTCTCATTCACTGACGTCATACACACACACGTCCCAACAAATTCCGAACATAACTTCTTTCATATTGGTCTCCTAAATGATATATAAGGCACACTTGCCCAGCAATAAGTTAGGCGGGGCCTAGAGCAGCGTTCTCCTCGGCGTGCGCCCCAGCCATAAACTAGCACTGTGTCTCATCTTGTTATTAACTTTGCTGATTTACTGCACGATATGACTAACCAATAAGATTCAGATATTTAAGAAATACTTGATATGTTTGGTTCGTGATACGAGCAGTTTTATTACTCTCGTTATACAAATTTTGTATCTCTGCCTAACCTGCATTTATTAAGTTGTATGTTACAATGTGCAGAGTATTGTCCCCTTACCATTGGACAACACAGTTAGAGGGGGGAAGGGGGGGACCTGCTGCATGGGCAACAGCTTCTCCCCCATATCAACCTACCCTGGCTTTGCGCCCTGGAGAGGCCACTCCAGACTGACAACCAGAGCGCAACTCCATAGACTCCTGAGACTGATGGATGCCTACTACTGTCCCCTTAGGGGCTATAATCTTTGATGTTATCCTCAGATAGACTGTAGGAGCTTGGCTGTCAAATATGCCCCCTGTGGACAACACAAAGGGTCCTCTTGAACAACAATACAAGTCCTCTGAAGAACAACACACGTTGATCAAACATCAATGTTGAACAACGTTCTCTCAACACTCGTCCTCTCAACAACACTCAGGTCCTAAGTTGGTGTCGAGTCGGTAACATGCGTTGTGAACTCCTGATTGATGCCTGGAGCAGCAACGACTTGCCTAAGCCATCCCCCCTCGTGTCTAGCTAAGCTTGGGATGCCCCCTCGGGTCGTACCGCCTCCACCACGACTCGTCTCGGACTTGGTTAATGTGGACTGAGTACTCTATTTAGGAACGACCTGGGTAAATGCAGGTAATGAGTCACAATAACGTGGCTGAAGTAGTTTGACCAGACCACACACTAGAAGTTGAAGGGACGACGATGTCGAAACAATCGACTTGAGAATGGTCCAGGATGGACCGAAACGCCGTCGTCCCTTCATTTTCTAGTGTGTGGTCTGGTCACACAACCTGGGTAAATGCTAGTTTGGAAACAGAATTGTCCATCTATGGAAGAAATAGACGCGGGATCGAAGGATTGTTTCGAACGTAGGTTAGACGGATATATGAATTAGTTTGGGTGAATAGAAATAGGAACTGCCACGTGTGGGCCAATGTGCAGTTTCTGTAATTCGTACGTTCGTAATAGTCAGCCTGGGAACGTTCCAGACAGGTGACAAGGAAGCAAGAGTAAGACGTAAGTAAGACTGTAAGACGCCTGTAAGATTAGACTGGAGCATACTGCTGCTCTCAGTGTTCAGGACCAGCTGCTGCTCTCAGTGTTCGGAACCAACTGCTGCTCTCAGTGCTCAGGACCAGCTGCTGCTCTCAGTGTTCGGAACCAGCTGCTGCTCTCAGTGCTCAGGACCTGCTGCTGCTCTCAGTGTTCGGAACCAACTGCTGCTCTCAGTGCTCGGGACCAGCTGCTGCTCTCAGTGCTCAGGACCTGCTGCTGCTCTCAGTGCTCAGGACCAGCTGTTGCTCTCAGTGCTCAGGACCAGCTGCTGCTCTCAGTGCTCAGGACCAGCTGCTGCTCTCAGTGCTCAGGACCTGCTGCTGCTCTCAGTGCTCAGGACCAGCTGCTGCTCTCAGTGTTCGGGACCAACTGCTGCTCTCAGTGCTCAGGACCAGCTGCTGCTCTCAGTGCTCAGGACCTGCTGCTGCTCTCAGTGCTCAGGACCAGCTGCTGCTCTCAGTGTTCGGGACCAACTGCTGCTCTCAGTGTTCGGAACCAGCTGCTGCTCTCAGTGCTCAGGACCAGCTGCTGCTCTCAGTGTTCAGGACCAGCTGTTGCTGTCAGTGTTCAGGACCAGCTGCTGCTCTCAGTGCTCAGGACCAGCTGCTGCTCTCAGTGCTCAGGACCAGCTGCTGCTCTCAGTGCTCAGGACCTGCTGCTGCTCTCAGTGCTCAGGACTAGCTGCTGCTCTCAGTGTTCGGGACCAACTGCTGCTCTCAGTGCTCAGGACCAGCTGCTGCTCTCAGTGTTCAGGACCAGCTGTTGCTGTCAGTGCTCAGGACCAGCTGCTGCTCTCAGTGCTCAGGACCAGCTGCTGCTCTCAGTGCTCAGGACCAGCTGCTGCTCTCAGTGCTCAGGACCAGCTGCTGCTCTCAGTGCTCAGGACCAGCTGCTGCTCTCAGTGTTCAGGACCAACTGCTTGACTCCAGTAACCATCTTAATTTAATATTTTGGTATGTGTGTATTAGTAACCTAATATACTCATCAATTTCATACAACAGGTGAATGACCTTACTCATGCGTGCCTCCTCACATCCCCACCAGTGATGAATGGAAGTGTTCCGAAGAGTTTTAACTTTACTACTTCTAATAAATATGATAACCATTAACTTAGGGTTATTTATTGAATACAGTAAAAGACTAATATATTTGTCTCACCATTAAAATTGGTAAAAAAATGGCTAATGTTAATTTTTAATACTATAAGAATTCAAATAATTAATTTCGAACTTCTAATACTATTAAGATGTTCTTCAGTGTCCTTATACTTGTTCTCTTAAGTTCCAGATGTGGAGGTAAATAATTTTTTTGTTTATGATAGATCACAATTGATTTGTTAAGGAGGACGTTGACAGCTGGCTAAGATGAGGCGTCGAGCGCCCTTAATGTGTGTTTATGTGTGGTCAGACCTCAGGTGAGGCCGCCCCTGGAGCCCGCCCTCGGCCGCCCCTTGGAGCCCGCCCTCGGCCGCCCCTGGAGCCCGCCCTTGGCCGCTCCTGGAGCCCGCCCTCGGCCGCTCCTGGAGCCCGCCCTCGGCCGCCCCTGGAGCCCGCCCTCGGCCGCCCCTGTAGCCCGCCCTCGGCCGCTCCTGGAGCCCGCCCTCGGCTGCCCCTGGAGCCCGCCCTCGGCCGCTCCTGGAGCCCGCCCTCGGCCGCCCCTGGAGCCCGCCCTCGGCCGCCCCTGGAGCCCGCCCTCGGCCGCCCCTGGAGCCCGCCCTCGGCCGCTCCTGGAGCCCGCCCTCGGCCGCCCCTGGAGCCCGCCCTCAGCCGCTCCTGGAGCCCGCCCTCGGCCGCCCCTGGAGCCCGCCCTCGGCCGCCATGGTCCTCTCACCCTCCCGCACTGACTCGATGGCTGCGGTGGACTGAAATCAAGTAGGACAGAGAAACGGGCGAGGCAGAGAGAGAGAGAGAGAGAGAGAGAGAGAGAGACGGACGGACGAGGCAGAAGAACAGACGGGGGGGAGCCATGGGGCGCAACGCCTCCATTCAAATGTTCCTGTTGACTCTGACTGGATGCTCGTGGATGCTGCTCTTCCTCTCCATCACCCTGCCAGACTACCACGTCTTCAGGTACTGTCAGGGTGAAGTTCTCCTTCCACCGGTCGATCATTCCCCTAACATTCTGCCATATTAACCATAGCCTCAGACTACACACCCTGCTCACACTAGTACGGCTCCATTGAGCCGCAAGGTAGACCTGCTTGTATCTTGTGTGTGTGTAAATCTCTACTACTATGCCTTCCAAAAATGTAAATGACCCCCTTAATAAGGGGTTTTTTAAGTTTTTAAATTACTATTTCCATTTTCAATATCAAAACAAGCTGGGCCTATGAGAATTGGTTGTAAAATTTGCACTCGTGTTATAATGTTATAGGAGTTGTTACTCTACGCTCTGATTACTACAACACCTGCCTGATTGACTCTAGTTCTCTCCTGTTATAAGAGTGTACCGCGTTGCTCGCGTCGCGGCCGCCCACGCCACCCACACGCCCCCAGCCAGAGAGGCGGACCCCTGCGAGGTGTGCTGGGGGGCAGGGACGCCCTGCTTGGAGGAGGAGGACGCTGGCGGCTCGCGCCCCGGGAAGGGGCTTCCCAGTGAGGCGGGAACCAGCAGCTGGGGCGCCCGCCTGGCCTGGGTGCTGGGTATGGCCGCCCAGAAGGACGATAAAGTCAGTTCAGGTGGAGGGGCGCAGGTGCACAAGGTGGCCGGGGTGGGCGCCTTCTACTACTACACCCTCCACACCACCTTCACCACTCTGGCCGTCAAGCTCAAGAAGGCGCAGCAGGTCAGTCAACTAACGTACACACACACACACACACACACACACACACACACACACACACACACACACACACACACACACACACACACACACACACACACACACACACACACACACACACACACACACAGTGGAGGCTGACTCCATACACAGTTTCAAGTGTAGATATGATAGAGCCCAGTAGGCTCAGGAACCTGTACACCTGTTGATTGACAGTTGAGAGGCGGGACCAATGAGCCAGAGCTCAACCCCCGCAAACACAATTAGGTGAGTACAATTAGATGAGTACACAAACAAACACACACTTATCACGTGAATTATTAATAGATTACAACCAAGTAGAAACACATGCAACAACTCTACAATATGAATGTTAAATATCAAATTAAATTTAAATAAAAGATATATGAATTAGAAGCCAGGAGAAATAAATTCTATGTTTCTCCTGGTTCATTTATCTTTTAATTAAAGCAAAAACAGGTAAGAGAAAAAATTGAGAAAATAGACAAGATATTCTTGTGCCAGACTGAACTGAACACCTTAAGTCCACATCACTAGAAAGTGATACAGGAAAACCAATAGAAAGTAGTTATTTACTGAAAACATTAAACAATACTTACTATAATTTTGTTTTACAGAGAAAACAGAATACGACAAGCACAGCTCTGTTACTGTACCCCCCCCCCCCCACAGCTGTTACAGTAACGTCATGCACAATGTTACTCCTGTGAGCTCATAATGTCACAGAAACAGTGTTACTCCTGTGAGCTCATAATGTCACAGAAACAGTGTTACTCCTGTGAGCTCATAATGTCACAGAAACAGTGTTACTCCTGTGAGCTCATAATGTCACAGAAACAGTGTTACTCCTGTGAGCTCATACTGTCTACCGTCCACCTGTGACGTCAGAGGCATACAGTGATGTCCTTGCTGTCATCTCATTATTATATCAGTATAACTGTGATCGGTACCGTTCAATATCCACGTCCTCAGACCACGTCCATTCCATCCAGCGGTCGACCCCCAAACACGCATTCATCAATTTTAAAAATGCTGCTCATTCAAAATAGGAATTTTCTCATATCAATTAATATTGTAATATATTAGCATATTGTGAATATTTAGACATTGGTTAGGTTAGTTTAGGTGTTTAGGTTCTGTTGGCGATTATTTGTATTTGTAGTACGTGGGTAGTACATTTACAGTGCATTGTACAGTGTATTTGTAGTACGTGGGTAGTACATTTACAGTGCATTGTACAGTGTATTTGTAGTACGTGGGTAGTACATTTACAGTGCATTGTACAGTGTATTTGTAGTACGTGGGTAGTACATTTACAGTGCGTTGTACAGTGTATTTGTAGTACGTGGGTAGTACATTTACAGTGCATTGTACAGTGTATTTGTAGTACGTGGGTAGTACATTTACAGTGCATTGTACAGTGTATTTGTAGTACGTGGGTAGTACATTTACAGTGCATTGTACAGTGTATTTGTAGTACATTTACAGCGTTGTTGTTCGAACAAAAGTCGTCGGCGAAACACTTATTGCAGGTCGGCGTTCAATCCCCGACCGTCCAAGTGTTTGGGCACCATTCCTTCCCCCCGTCCCATCCCAAATCCTTATCCTGACCCCTTCCAAGTGCTATATAGTCTGATGGCTTGGCTCTTTCTCCTGGTAATTTCCTCCCTCCGGAAGTGTTCGGAATTAATCAGTTGTGAGTCGTGTGTAAACAGTTTTTCATTCATAAACAGCGGGTTTGGCGGGTGGATGGAATGGACTTTGGCTTTTGTTTATGAGGACGGGCTGCCCGTTCAATGGGCGGGCCCAACGAAACTGTTCAATAAAGACCTTGGCGTGTCAGCGAAGAGGTTCAATAAAAACCTTGACGTGTCAGCGAAGAGGTTCAATAAAGACCTTGGCGTGTCAGCGAAGAGTTTCAATAAACACCTTGGCGTGTCAGCGAAGAGGTTCAATAAAGACCTTGGCGTGTCAGCGAAGAGTTTCAATAAAAACATTGGCGTGTCAGCGAAGAGGTTCAATAAAAACCTTGGCGTGTCAGCGAAGAGTTTCAATAAAAACCTTGGCGTGTCAGCGAAGAGGTTCAATAAAGACCTTGGCGTGTCAGCGAAGAGTTTCAATAAAAACATTGGCGTGTCAGCGAAGAGGTTCAATAAAGACCTTGACGTGCCAGCGAAGAGGTTCAATAAAGACCTTGGCGTGTCAGCGAAGAGTTTCAATAAAAACATTGGCGTGTCAGCGAAGAGGTTCAATAAAAACCTTGGCGTGTCAGCGAAGAGGTTCAATAAAGACCTTGACGTGTCAGCGAAGAAGTTCAATAAAGACCTTGGCGTGTCAGCGAAGAGGTTCAATAAAGACCTTGACGTGCCAGCGAAGAGGTTCAATAAAGACCTTGACGTGTCAGCGAAGAGGTTCAATAAAGACCTTGACGTGTCAGCGAAGAGGTTCAATAAAGACCTTGACGTGTCAGCGAAGAGGTTCAATAAAGACCTTGACGTGTCAGCGAAGAGGTTCAATAAAGACCTTGACGTGTCAGCGAAGAAGTTCAATAAAGACCTTGGCGTGTCAGCGAAGAGGTTCAATAAAGACCTTGACGTGCCAGCGAAGAGGTTCAATAAAGACCTTGACGTGTCAGCGAAGAGGTTCAATAAAGACCTTGACGTGTCAGCGAAGAGGTTCAATGAAGACCTTGACGTGTCAGCGAAGAGTTTCAATGAAGACCTTGACGTGTCAGCGAAGAAGTTCAATAAAGACCTTGACGTGCTAGCGAAGAGGTTCAATAAAGACATTGACGTGTCAGCGAAGAGGTTCAATAAAGACCTTGACGTGTCAGCGAAGAGGTTCAATAAAGACCTTGACGTGTCAGCGAAGAGGTTCAATAAAGACCTTGACGTGTCAGCGAAGAGGTTCAATGAAGACCTTGACGTGTCAGCGAAGAGTTTCAATGAAGACCTTGACGTGTCAGCGAAGAAGTTCAATAAAGACCTTGGCGTGTCAGCGAAGAGGTTCAATGAAGACCTTGACGTGTCAGCGAAGAGTTTCAATGAAGACCTTGACGTGTCAGCGAAGAAGTTCAATAAAGACCTTGACGTGCTAGCGAAGAGGTTCAATAAAGACATTGACGTGTCAGCGAAGAGTTTCAATGAAGACCTTGACGTGTCAGCGAAGAGGTTCAATAAAGACCTTGACGTGTCAGCGAAGAGGTTCAATAAAGACCTTGGCGTGTCAGCGAAGAAGTTCAATAAAGACCTTGACGTGTCAGCGAAGAGGTTCAATAAAGACCTTGACGTGTCAGCGAAGAGGTTCAATAAAGACCTTGACGTGTCAGCGAAGAGGTTCAATAAAGACCTTGATGTGTCAGCGAAGAGGTTCAATAAAGACCTTGACGTGTCAGCGAAGAAGTTCAATAAAGACCTTGACGTGTCAGCGAAGAGGTTCAATAAAGACCTTGACGTGTTAGCGAAGAGGTTCAATAAAGACATTTGGCGTGTCAGCGAAGAGGTTCAATGAAGACCTTGACGTGTCAGCGAAGAGGTTCAATAAAGACCTTGGCGTGTCAGCGAAGAAGTTCAATAAAGACCTTGACGTGTCAGCGAAGAGGTTCAATAAAGACCTTGACGTGTCAGCGAAGAGGTTCAATAAAGACCTTGACGTGTCAGCGAAGAAGTTCAATAAAGACCTTGACGTGTCAGCGAAGAGGTTCAATAAAGACCTTGACGTGTCAGCGAAGAGGTTCAATAAAGACCTTGACGTGTCAGCGAAGAGGTTCAATAAAGACCTTGATGTGTCAGCGAAGAGGTTCAATAAAGACCTTGACGTGTCAGCGAAGAAGTTCAATAAAGACCTTGACGTGTCAGCGAAGAGGTTCAATAAAGACCTTGACGTGTTAGCGAAGAGGTTCAATAAAGACATTTGGCGTGTCAGCGAAGAGGTTCAATAAAGACCTTGACGTGTCAGCGAAGAGGTTCAATAAAGACCTTGGCGTGTCAGCGAAGAAGTTCAATAAAGACCTTGACGTGTCAGCGAAGAGGTTCAATAAAGACCTTGACGTGTCAGCGAAGAGGTTCAATAAAGACCTTGACGTGTCAGCGAAGAGGTTCAATAAAGACCTTGACGTGTCAGCGAAGAGGTTCAATAAAGACCTTGACGTGTAAGCGAAGAGGTTCAATAAAGACCTTGACGTGTCAGCGAAGAGGTTCAAACGGTTGAAGTTAAATTGAGTTCTGACAGTGTATATACACTGAGAATATTTAATGTAGTCCTGAACAATGTGTAGAGCTAAACTGTACCTGTTTGCAAGGCTTCAAGTCCAACACCAACTCGCGCGTAGGACTTGAAGCCTTTCAAACAGGTACAGTTTGAAAGTCCAACACCAACTCGCGCGTTACGCCCAATGAGCCACAATAAACATTGCTCCTGCTTATCCGTAACATAATATAAAACCGTGTACATAAATGACCTAAAACTGATAAAACATTTTTAAGACACTTTTTTTTTGTACTTTAATTCTGTGACAGTAATTTTAATTGCCATAACTTTGTAATATATATATTAGTAGGAAAAAAATAGAATACTTGCCACTAACATCATCTAGGACATTCTAGATTTTACCATTAATATTAAATATAATGTCTGGTAACATCCCTTGCGTAGGTTCGAACCCTCATCACGGCTCCTTGTGGATTTGTTCATTAAATATAAGTTTTCCGTTAGTTGGAGACGTTAGCAGTAGTGGTAATGACGCGTTGTGTGTCGGCAGGTGGCGGGAGACGTGAAGGAGGAGGTGGCCGCTCTGGGGGAGAAGGTGGCCCACCTTCATCACACACTCACCACACACTTCTCGCCTCGCCACGACCCCTACCACCACAAGGCTCACCCCACACCACCCGCGGCCACCGGCACCCAGCACACAGCGACCAATGTCAGCCCCACTCACCCCAACACCCAGAGGACGGGGCGCTCGAAGTCGGAGATGAAGGATCTTCGTTCTTCAAAGCGACGCTACGAGGCGTCTGTGTCGCCTGACGCTGGGCGGGAAGATCTCCGTCGTGTCTACCCTGTCCAGGTGTCAAATGACGCGAAGCGGAGAAAATATTCGATATTACCAAATGATGATCAAGTTAGTCTTAGAAATATTAACTCAAACGTGCCTAGTTCTCATTCAGAACAAACACACAGCGTCTACCCCGACGGAGCCAGCCCAGAAATCAGCCCAGGAGCCGGCCCAGGAACCAGCCCAAGAGCCGGCCCTGGAGCCATCCTTCCTCGCAGTAACGCCATCGCTCACAAATATGCAAAACTACAAAACTCTCAAGTGATGGAAAATCACCAAATATCCCAAAGTGCAAACAGGAGAAGAATACAAACAGTTTTCTCCAATAGTTTTCGCCATCAGTTAAGTGTTAACATGACGGGTATAGGCAGTGAACCCTCCAGCGAGCGAAGGGAGGGTCTGAAGAGGACAGAGACTGAGGGTATAGACAGGAGCAGAGGGCGACACTGGGTAGTGGGAACAGAAGAGACGGGTAATGGCAGAACTAAAAGACCGGATGACTTACACACCAACGTAGACAGAGTGGGTTTGCGGCGGACCGTGTCTGTGATGGTGATAGATGGGGAGAAGAATGACTTTCTTACTAGTCTGGGCAACACTTACCCAGGGATAACTGTTCACTGGATAACACGAACAGTTGCACCGGAGGAGGAAGCACGTCATCATGTTCATCTTGTGGTTCACAACGTAGATGCCAACGCCAGCACCAGCGTCGCCTACACGGAGGTCCTGAGGCATATCACCACGCCCTACGTCCTGGTGGCCACGGGTATCTCTTCACTCACGTCTCTGGCACACTTAGACCGGCTGGTATGGGCGGTGGAACACTTGGGAGTGTGGGCAGTGGGTGGTGGGCTTGAGGCGCCCTCAGCCCACTGGCGCACAGGCTGCTTTACCTCCAGCTATGCACACTACCAAGCCAGCTGGGCACGGGGTAGGCTCGCCTCTATTGACCAGTGTTTACTATGTCACGGATTAGAAGGACCATTTTTGGCACTAACCACGGCCTTGCGACACCTCGGCTGGGACACCAACCTTCCCAGACAAGTGTTACAGCATGATCTTTTCCTGCGGGCGGCGCACACGCAGCACATGCTGGCCGCCGCGTGTCCTCACTCTTTATTTACGATCAGCAGCGAGCTAGAGCCGCCATCGCGCGCTGCTCTGCTCAGTCTCGCCCGACGCCACAGTCTGTACACAGTGGGAGCGGCAGGTGCGCCGGCGGTCACCTTCACCTGCAGGGAAGTTGGCGCCAGCTGCGGCCACACCGGCCTGGCTCTCCCGCCATGCTGCCGCCAGGAGCTGGCCAACCTCGTCCGCTTCCTGATGGACATCTGTGAGGCCCACGGGCTGTTCTGTGAGCTGCAGGAAGGCACGCTGTTGGGTCAGTAAATGGTTTAGCATTTTCTCCTGGTAATTACCTTACTTTGTTAACACCAATGGCTTCTGTACATCATATTTAATTTGCTTCCTTTAGTATTTTTGTTGTTGATGAGGATTCCATCAATGAGGGCGGCAGAGAGCTATATGAATTAGTTTATTTCTGAAGCTCACTCATCACCATCTACACATTGGCTCGTCTTTAATTACCGTATATGAGAGATGAGAGCGGCCGGAGGGTGAGAACTGTGTGAAGCGTTGAGAAATATGTCACAGAGAAAAAGTATGAGGAGTGAGAGATGTTTGGTGGTGAAGCGGAAGGGGGGGAGGGGGGTGAGAGAGAGGAGAAGTAGCAACACCCATGGAGAGGAGCCTGCACCAGTTGTGTCAGCCCGCCCTCCACACACACACCAGTGACTGTACCAGTGGTGCCTGGTGTCCTCCTGCAGGGGCGGTGAAGGTGGGCGGGGTGCTGCCGTGGGAGCGGGACGCCGATATAACTTTCCACACCAAGAACTTCACGGCCCTGGGGGAGCTCAAGGACACGTTTGAGCGCGCCGGCTACTCTCTCTACCTCAGTGAGTACTCAAACATCTTGTAAACGCTCTAATGTAAACATTTTCAGGGTCAGAAGCGGGAAATTCAAATTTCAAATTCAAATACTGCATTCATAATAGGTTGTATATTTATAATTTAATTACTTTACACAATATTTCCATAACAGTGATGATGTCCACACTCTGTAAGGTTAACATTAAGCTTCATGCTTAATGTCTACCTGGACGTGACTCGCGTCATTACACACACACACACACATATAATATATATATATATATATATATATATATATATATATATATATATATATATATATATATATATATATATATATATATATATATATATATATATATATATATATATATATATATATATATATATATATATATATATATATATATATATATGCGAACAAGCCTGAATGGTCCCCAGGACAATATGCAACTGAAAACTCACACCCCAGAAGTGACTCGAACCCATACTCCCAGGAGCAACGCAACTGGTATGTACAAGACGCCTTAATCCACTTGACCATCACGACCGGACAAAATGAGGTGATAGCCGAGGCTATTTGAACCACCCCACCGCCGGCACTCGGATAGTAATCTTGGGCATAGCATTTTACCAAATCACCTCATTCTTTGGGGCACACGTGAGGAACACAAATGCGAACAAGCCTGAATGGTCCCCAGGACAATATGCAACTGAAAACTCACACCCCAGAAGTGACTCGAACCCATACTCCCAGGAGCAACGCAACTGGTATGTACAAGACGCCTTAATCCACTTGACCATCACGACCGGACAAAATGAGGTGATAGCCGAGGCTATTTGAACCACCCCACCGCCGGCACTCGGATAGTAATCTTGGGCATAGCATTTTACCAAATCACCTCATTCTTTGGGGCACACGTGAGGAACACAAATGCGAACAAGCCTGAATGGTCCCCAGGACAATATGCAACTGAAAACTCACACCCCAGAAGTGACTCGAACCCATACTCCCAGGAGCAATGCAACTGGTATGTACAAGACGCCTTAATCCACTTGACCATCACGACCGGACAAAATGAGGTGATAGCCGAGGCTATTTGAACCACCCCACCGCCGGCACTCGGATAGTAATCTTGGGCATAGCATTTTACCAAATCACCTCATTCTTTGGGGCACACGTGAGGAACACAAATGCGAACAAGCCTGAATGGTCCCCAGGACAATATGCAACTGAAAACTCACACCCCAGAAGTGACTCGAACCCATACTCCCAGGAGCAACGCAACTGGTATGTACAAGACGCCTTAATCCACTTGACCATCACGACCGGACAAAATGAGGTGATAGCCGAGGCTATTTGAACCACCCCACCGCCGGCACTCGGATAGTAATCTTGGGCATAGCATTTTACCAAATCACCTCATTCTTTGGGGCACACGTGAGGAACACAAATGCGAACAAGCCTGAATGGTCCCCAGGACAATATGCAACTGAAAACTCACACCCCAGAAGTGACTCGAACCCATACTCCCAGGAGCAACGCAACTGGTATGTACAAGACGCCTTAATCCACTTGACCATCACGACCGGACAAAATGAGGTGATAGCCGAGGCTATTTGAACCACCCCACCGCCGGCACTCGGATAGTAATCTTGGGCATAGCATTTTACCCAAGATAAAATAGTAATGCTTGGGCATAGCATTTGGTAAAATGCTATGCCCAAGATTACTATCCGAGTGCCGGCGGTGGGGTGGTTCAAATAGCCTCGGCTATCACCTCATTTTGTCCGGTCGTGATGGTCAAGTGGATTAAGGCGTCTTGTACATACCAGTTGCGTTGCTCCTGGGAGTATGGGTTCGAGTCACTTCTGGGGTGTGAGTTTTCAGTTGCATATTGTCCTGGGGACCATTCAGGCTTGTTCGCATTTGTGTTCCTCACGTGTGCCCCATAGAATGAGGTGATTTGGTAAAATGCTATGCCCAAGATTACTATCCGAGTGCCGGCGGTGGGGTGGTTCAAATAGCCTCGGCTATCACCTCATTTTGTCCGGTCGTGATGGTCAAGTGGATTAAGGCGTCTTGTACATACCAGTTGCGTTGCTCCTGGGAGTATGGGTTCGAGTCACTTCTGGGGTGTGAGTTTTCAGTTGCATATTGTCCTGGGGACCATTCAGGCTTGTTCGCATTTGTGTTCCTCACGTGTGCCCCAAAGAATGAGGTGATTTGGTAAAATGCTATGCCCAAGATTACTATCCGAGTGCCGGCGGTGGGGTGGTTCAAATAGCCTCGGCTATCACCTCATTTTGTCCGGTCGTGATGGTCAAGTGGATTAAGGCGTCTTGTACATACCAGTTGCGTTGCTCCTGGGAGTATGGGTTCGAGTCACTTCTGGGGTGTGAGTTTTCAGTTGCATATTGTCCTGGGGACCATTCAGGCTTGTTCGCATTTGTGTTCCTCACGTGTGCCTCAAAGAATGAGGTGATTTGGTAAAATGCTATGCCCAAGATTACTATCCGAGTGCCGGCGGTGGGGTGGTTCAAATAGCCTCGGCTATCACCTCATTTTGTCCGGTCGTGATGGTCAAGTGGATTAAGGCGTCTTGTACATACCAGTTGCGTTGCTCCTGGGAGTATGGGTTCGAGTCACTTCTGGGGTGTGAGTTTTCAGTTGCATATTGTCCTGGGGACCATTCAGGCTTGTTCGCATTTGTGTTCCTCACGTGTGCCCCAAAGAATGAGGTGATTTGGTAAAATTCTATGCCCAAGATTACTATCCGAGTGCCGGCGGTGGGGTGGTTCAAATAGCCTCGGCTATCACCTCATTTTGTCCGGTCGTGATGGTCAAGTGGATTAAGGCGTCTTGTACATACCAGTTGCGTTGCTCCTGGGAGTATGGGTTCGAGTCACTTCTGGGGTGTGAGTTTTCAGTTGCATATTGTCCTGGGGACCATTCAGGCTTGTTCGCATTTGTGTTCCTCACGTGTGCCTCAAAGAATGAGGTGATTTGGTAAAATGCTATGCCCAAGATTACTATCCGAGTGCCGGCGGTGGGGTGGTTCAAATAGCCTCGGCTATCACCTCATTTTGTCCGGTCGTGATGGTCAAGTGGATTAAGGCGTCTTGTACATACCAGTTGCGTTGCTCCTGGGAGTATGGGTTCGAGTCACTTCTGGGGTGTGAGTTTTCAGTTGCATATTGTCCTGGGGACCATTCAGGCTTGTTCGCATTTGTGTTCCTCACGTGTGCCTCAAAGAATGAGGTGATTTGGTAAAATGCTATGCCCAAGATTACTATCCGAGTGCCGGCGGTGGGGTGGTTCAAATAGCCTCGGCTATCACCTCATTTTGTCCGGTCGTGATGGTCAAGTGGATTAAGGCGTCTTGTACATACCAGTTGCGTTGCTCCTGGGAGTATGGGTTCGAGTCACTTCTGGGGTGTGAGTTTTCAGTTGCATATTGTCCTGGGGACCATTCAGGCTTGTTCGCATTTGTGTTCCTCACGTGTGCCCCAAAGAATGAGGTGATTTGGTAAAATTCTATGCCCAAGATTACTATCCGAGTGCCGGCGGTGGGGTGGTTCAAATAGCCTCGGCTATCACCTCATTTTGTCCGGTCGTGATGGTCAAGTGGATTAAGGCGTCTTGTACATACCAGTTGCGTTGCTCCTGGGAGTATGGGTTCGAGTCACTTCTGGGGTGTGAGTTTTCAGTTGCATATTGTCCTGGGGACCATTCAGGCTTGTTCGCATTTGTGTTCCTCACGTGTGCCTCAAAGAATGAGGTGATTTGGTAAAATGCTATGCCCAAGATTACTATCCGAGTGCCGGCGGTGGGGTGGTTCAAATAGCCTCGGCTATCACCTCATTTTGTCCGGTCGTGATGGTCAAGTGGATTAAGGCGTCTTGTACATACCAGTTGCGTTGCTCCTGGGAGTATGGGTTCGAGTCACTTCTGGGGTGTGAGTTTTCAGTTATATATATATATATATATATATATATATATATATATATATATATATATATATATATATATATATATATATATATATATATATATATATATATATATATATTTTATTAAATATGACCGAAAAAGTAAGATTAATAATTCTAACACGAATTTTCTCAATCTTTCGTACATTATGCTTCACTGTTGGAGGTAAATCAAAAATCACTTCTCCAAAATTCATTTTTATTTCTAGTCTGACGCGACACGGGCGCGTTTCGTAAAACTTATTACATTTTCAAAGACTTCACAAATACACAACTGATTAGAACTTGCGTTTCCCTGATTTTATATCTACATTTGAGTGAGGTGGGAAGGGTGATGTGGCATTACATTTGAGTGAGGTGGGAAGGATGATGTGGCATTAGAGGATATTAATAGGGTATTAAAAGTATCAACACAAGACAGAACACGAAACAATGGATATTGAATAGAAGTGTTTGTAGAAAGCCTATTGGTCCATATTTCTTGATGCTTCTATATTGGAGCGGAGTCTTGAGGTGGGTAGAATATAGTTGTGCAATAATTGGCTGTTGATTGCTGGTGTTGACTTCTTGATGTGTAGTGCCTCGCAAACGTCAAGCCGCCTGCTATCGCTGTATCTATCGATGATTTCTGTGTTGTTTACTAGGATTTCTCTGGCGATGGTTTGGTTATGGGAAGAGAGTATATGTTCCTTAATGGAGCCCTGTTGTTTATGCATCGTTAAACGCCTAGAAAGAGATGTTGTTGTCTTGCCTATATACTGGGTTTTTTGGAGCTTACAGTCCCCAAGTGGGCATTTGAAGGCATAGACGACGTTAGTCTCTTTTAAAGCGTTCTGTTTCGTGTCTGGAGAGTTTCTCATGAGTAGGCTGGCCGTTTTTCTGGTTTTATAGTAAATCGTCAGTTGTATCCTCTGATTTTTGTCTGTAGGGATAACGTTTCTATTAACAATATCTTTCAGGACCCTTTCCTCTGTTTTATGAGCTGTGGAAAAGAAGTTCCTGTAAAATAGTCTAATAGGGGGTATAGGTGTTG